AGCGACACAACGCACAACTCGTTATACCCACGGCGAGCCGGAATCTGTCAGAAATAATTCGGAATCACGGTGAACGCGCGAAATCGCACCTCCTCCCCCTTTTATTCGATTGCCAGCCGTTCCTTCCCGTTCCACCGCTACATTCTAGCCGATCGTGCAACGGCCAATCGCCGTACGCTTTTCCGATGGCGACGCTAAAGTCCGCGCTGCGCCATGTCTTACACAAAAGCTTTTTGCAACAGACGCGTGATTGGTTGATTTCGCAATGCATATGCTTTATTGTGCAATCACGAAAGATTCGGCTGAATGCGCCTTTATCATAAATATGTTTGTAGATGTTCGAATAATATCAGAATGACCGACAGCCGATGTAATTTGTATCGTTACTCAACGTTATATCTGCTCGTTCGCAAAAGAGCTCCGTTGCTGCGTGTTTTCTTAACGCGGTCGAGTTTCTCCACATCGTTTTCACGTCGCTAGGTTAGAACGTTTCATTGTTGCGTCGCGTTCGTTCTAATTCCGCCTCCGCGCGCGCAACTCCCTGTTTGACGTTTCGACTTCACAACGCCGTCCGAGCGACACGGTTGACATGCTGTCGCGCAAAAACAAGGATTTGAGGACGATCAAGGAAGGAGTGGTCGGTAAATATGTGAAGAAGGAAACGCCGCCCGAAATGCCGAGTACGTATCTCGCGATGGCTTAATCCGTTTTCCTCTTCCACTCTGCTCCTAACGATGAAGCGTTTGTCATTTGATTGGCAGTTCGCATATCTTTTTTGCTTATCCTTGTATTCTACAAAAAATAACTGATAACATTCTTGTGATTCTTTTATGATTTAATACATATGTTTGCATTTTTCAAAGGATAAAGTTGCAGATGTAAATTTATTAGTAGGGTGGATATTATTAGATCATTGCATATGAAAGGGCGTTTTTAAATATAGATGAAAAGGAACGTTTTCATATCTCGTTAATTATTATCTCTAATGAGAACAAGCTTTCCATTATAACTGATTTTATAATAATTTCATATTTTTTGCCTTTTTATGATATGTTGCTATATATATATAATTTTTAATAAATTTACTATATGTATAATAAAACTTCTTTCAAAAATTTAAGAGAATATTCTCTTACTCTATCTTTTTATCATAAAAACATGAATTATACAACAATTCATATTACTTGCATCTAGTTATCAACGTATGGACAACGGAGCCAAACAAAAGGACGAGAAGACGCAACAACCATTCTACAATGCCAGCTTCCATGGTAAATTATATCGCACATGAATGTATAATTTAAATATACCATATTATACAATGTTCCCTATTAAAAAATAAAGAAAATCTAAAATCTGCTTATTCTAGTAAAACTTGTGCTCATTGTTTAAATTTGTCAATATCAAGTTGTATCAAGTTTTGATATTTCAAATAAAGCTCTGACTTTTCTATCCCCATCAATAAATGAAAATTGTGTATTATTTTTTAATTTTATTTATGTATACTCTATTGTAATATACTGCCAAATTAAATGTTTCCAAATGTGTCCTTGTTTCTTAATAAATGCTGAATAATGGAAAATTGAGGAAACTTATGCTTCTTTTGTTTCGTAGTCTATCCCTCAACAACCTAGTATGGTGCAAAAATTTGGAAATACAAAAACTACGCCTAGTGCTGTCGGTCTGGGTAGTCACGAAGGAAAATATACACCAAACAGTTCCGTTCCCGATTTAGCTCAAAGGTTAATAGTATTAATATCTTTAATAACTGTCACGCAATGTTTTAGCTTTGTGAAAAGATATTTTTCAAATGTTTTTAATAATTTTTTTCATAAAAATAAAACCACAAATCTTTTCTCTAAACGTAAGAGAAATCTTGCAAGATAAATGTTGTAAAATATTTTTCTGTAATGTGTTTTTTATCTTCACGATAGATTTGCTAATCTTTCAATCAATACGGGAATGAACGACGGCATGATTTCGAGGACCGCAACACCCATGTACCATCCCGAACTGTCACCCGCAATGTCGCATACTTATATTAATCAATACGCTGGGTCCGAGTATCATTTGGACAGAGTTCAGACACCACAGATGCCTTACATGCCCTTCGACGTCGATACCGGTTACGAGGACTATAATCATTCTGTGTATCGCACAAATGCTGGGTACGACAACGGTTTTCTGTGGCGAACCGTTTCTCTATTAATTACAGAAATTTTTTTCTATTATACTTCATATTGTTTTCCCTATAAAGTCTTAAATTGCAATTGTGAAATAAATAATGAAATTGACATTGATAACATACTTGTTTTAACGAGTTTCGATTTCTGATTAAAGTTACAGCAGGTGCCATTCAGAGAGATCAAGTTCTCGGAGTGACCAGCAGGAAGAGTTGCCTTTACCGCCTGGATGGTCGGTCGATTTCACGCTCCGAGGCCGAAAGTATTACATTGATCACAATACCAAGACCACACATTGGTCACATCCGCTCGAGAAAGAGGGTTTGCCTACGGGATGGGAGAGAATCGAATCACCGGAATACGGCGTCTATTATGTCAAGTGAGTACACTGGGAGAACAAATAAGAGAAGAGGATTTCATAAATATCGCTTTATGTCTATGAATATTCGTTTACTTCTTTTCTCAGTCATATCACGCGTCAAGCGCAATACGAACATCCATGTTACCCACATGAAATGCAAGCAGTGCGCGTTGTGTCGCCACCACGGCACACTCACTTTCACTCTCACAGCGTCCTGGTGCCAGCCAATCCCTATCTCAATGAGGAGATACCACATTGGCTGTACGTGTACAGCAGGGCTTCAATAGCCCTGGATCGCAAACTGCGCTGGGAATTGTTTCGCTTGCCCGAACTGGACTGCTTCAACGCCATGCTGACTAGACTATACAAACAGGAATTGGAGGAGGTCGTGATGCGTTATGAAGAGTATAGGTAAAAATCTGAAACAAAAACGATTTATTGACACATGTATATAATCATTTCTCATAAAATAATATTTTAAGTTCCTTCAAATTTTAGTAATTTTAATAATTTTTAATATTTTGATATTTTTGTTACTACAGATCTGCATTGTTGTGCGAAATAGAACAGAGATTGAAGGTGTTAAACTCAGAATCCAGTGGCTCTAATGCTGGTGCTGTCGCCTTACGAAGATCTCTCCCCTGATAGAGAGATCTCTATTGATCAATCTATTGTTATCTTACATTTTTTTTTTTGACTGACGAAAAAGGTTCCTTGGAAGCTCATGATAAATGGTCAATACCTCGGTGTCTTTTGTACACGTGTAGATAATGTAAAGTTCAATGGAATTTATCCCTTTTGATAATATCTTATATATGCTATATATGAGTTTTGAGAAATAATAATTATTAAGTGTTACCTAATTCTATGTTGCAACAGTTGTCTGTTCTTTTTCTTTAGCCTCTTTATTTTCCTGGACCATCTTGTCAAATACCAAGTCAAACTCCTTTTTAACTGTCATGCCTGTGATTTGGTATACATGTACATTTTGAGATGTACCAGTTAACTTTGAATATACTTCTCCTGCAAAGAATAATCCATCATTTTTTAAATTTCTTTTTTACAAAATCAAAACCAAAAACATTAATAAAATATATATATACTTCTTTCTGATTTATTCTCTGGTATTTTATCTTTTAATAAGTAGTAGAATCCAATACCAAAACAATTCCATCCTAAAAAAGCATACAATATTGAAAGTTTTCGCTTTGCTTGTTGAGCTTGATACTTGTTTTTTACTCCAAACCATCGTTCTACAAATTGTTTCAACATTGTTTCTAAATTTACAATCAAGTTTAGGGAAAAAATATCCTATATCCTGTAAAAGACCAATATATTTAGTATAACCTACCAAAGAAAATATGTATATTATTTAACATGGTTCAATTGAATTACAAGATATAAATGACAATGTGGTATTATTAATAGCGATAAATTGAAGATTGAAGTGTTAATAAGATAAGATGATAAAAAACAAAATTATAACATATATCGTAAAATACATTTAACTTTTCAATCACGTGTGCTAATAAACTTACAAGAAAAATTTTTAAATCATTAGTTATATGAGACATAAATAAGTTAACCTATCACTATGCAAGGTTCATTATAATTCGTTATACAATAATTTTACAAAGTTATATAATAATTATGTGTACTCACATATTTCAGTATCAATCACATTTTAATCAATTTGACATCAGATTTGAGATGCAAGCAACAAACAGCATGAGAAAGAGAATACCGCACACATGCGTAAGCCACGTACATGTGAGCTCCACGTTTCGGACACTAGAAAGAGCAGACATACTATTTCCGTCTCCTTTCTTAAGAGGATGCTGGAGTGGAAGCCGAACTCCGACGCGAAAGCGCCATCATTTCGATGGTACTAAAAAAGAAATGACATTATCGGCGTAGCCTACGGACCTATGCCGCGTAGGTCCGTGTGTACGCATTTGTGAGTGGTAACACACTACACTGACGTGTGGTCTGTGTACGTGTGATCGGATAGTTTGTAAACAAACGATGCTTGCGCTTGTTTCCTCGACTGAAATTTCGTCGCAAGGCTGCAATATAATGTCCGAGAAGACATAGGCGTATACAAAGTGTCAAATAAATATGAACTAAATATGACAAAATAATAAATGAAAAATATACATATAATACTATATATATCACTGAAAAAAATGTCATATACTTTTCTTATTTTTATTCTTATGTAGTAAATACAAAATAACTCTAAATAATTAATCAATTAATATATACATATACACATATATTGAATAAATAGTTATCTTTATTTTGTATTTTATATGATAATGACTGAAATAATGAGAGTGTATATCATTTCGGTCATTATATAAAATATAAAATAAAGATAACTATATTCAATATGTATATGTATGTATTGAATAATTAGTTAACTTATTTATTTATTTTGTATTAATTACATAAGAATAAAAATAGGGAAAACATATAATATTTTTTCCAATTAGATATAAAGTATTATATATACATTTTTCAAATAAAATATTTTATCATATCTAATTTATATCTATTAGACACCTTGTATAAGTCTATTTCGTCTCGTATGTACATACATCATACAGCCATACGATAAAATTTCAATTCCGAGAAAAAAGGTGAAATGACTTTATAAATTATCCGATAAAACATTAACAGACCACACATGTAGTAAATTACTAACTAAAAGAACTATGTATTTCTCAAAATCTGCAAGCTCACAATAGATCGCCTCTGACAATATTTCTTACAATTTGTTAGCTCACGAATAAATCGTCTTTGGCTCTCTTTTTTCTAAACTGTCAGCTGACGTTAGATCGCCTCCGACTATATTTATTAAAAATTGTCAGCTCACGGTAGACCGCCTCTGACTTTTCTAATTCTACATCGCCAGCACACGTTAGATCGCCTCTGACTTTTCTAATTCTACATCGCCAGCACACGTTAGATCGCCTCTGGCTTGTCTTATTCTTTATTGTAAAATATTTTCACATCATGTGCTTTCACGTCATGTGCTTTATATATATATTATGTATATTATGTACTCCATATTATCTATATTTATATCAAAATATCTATATAAAAAATTACACCATTTGTATACTGTTTTTACAAG